TGCCAGTGGATCAGGATGTCTCCGGGCAAACCTACGGTTTTCGCCGTAGTAGTAGTAGTAGTAGTAGTAGTGGTAGTAGTAGTAATAGTGGTAGTGGTAGCGGGAGCGGTAGCCGCAGTGTAGTATTCGCCGCCGCCGCCGCGCCGCAGTAGTAGTAGTAGTAGTAGTAGCAGCAGCAGCACTAGTAGTAGTAGTAGCAGCAGCAGTAATCGTAGCAACAGAGTAGTAGTGGTGAATGCAAAATAGAGGAAAATGAAGAATTGAAAAAATTAGGAAATGATGACCAACATTGGAAAACAACAAAAAATAATGAAAAAACATGGAAAACCTAAACCAATCATGAAGATCGTGAAAACTGTTGATTTCGGTACGAAAATGAAGAAAAACAAGAATGATTTTAAAAAAAGAAAAATGAAGCAACATGATGAAAACGGTTAAAAAATCATAAGAAGTCATGCAACATGATAATGCGGATAAGTGATGAAATGTGATGAAGCGTGATAAACAATGATGAAAATCATGAAAAATCATCATAAAGTATCATAAAAACCTATGCAACAGGATGAAACATTGTGGAAATAGATGAACATGGCGAAAAATGTGAGAAACAATTAAAATGAAGAATAAAAAGGAAAGTGATGAAAAATCATAGTGGAAAGAACAATATGATGGCGAATGCTTGTGTGAATCTGCTTTGATCATAACAGCCGGGTGGGGCGGGTGAGGGGGGCGCCCCCCCCCCCAGTTGCAAAACCTGGACAAAGATTAGAGCATGTACTTTCTTCCGGCGCTTTGATTTGGCAATGTGATGTGACAAATGATGAGAAAGGAGATGAACATGATCAAAAAGGACAAGAACAATGGAAAAAAATATACATATATATATATTTGTCAATTTCAAATAATGAAAAAATCATGAACCATTCTGACAAATTATCAACCTGATGAAACGAGAATGATACAAATATGAAAATGATGAAAAATTGTGAAACATCATGAGAATCGATGATGCAACCCTGACAAATGATGAAAAATCATGACAATGTCAAGGACACCATCTAATATCTTTTGAAAATGATGATGACTGATGAAAAATGATGAGACCTAGCAAAGCTGATGAAAACTGATCAAAAATAATCGGCATTCCTTCCTGCCTTCCTTCGTTCCTTCCTTCCTGCCTGCTCTCCTCCCGCGAGGGTGTAGGGTCGAAGCCAAAGCAACCAAACAAAAACAATCCGGAGTGTTGTACTCCCGAGGAATTAGGGCATAAGTATGTTTGATGCTTAAAAATCTTCCTTTTGATGATTACAAACTGTTGTTGATGCTATTCAGTTTTGGTTAATCCCTATCCCCACTCGGAAGCTGAGCATGACCAACCAATGCAACTAACCCAGTCTTCAACCAAATTCAGAGAAGCCTGCCGTAGCCTTCCGGCAACTACTCATCCTCAGAAGAAAACATCTGGGTGTTGCGCCTTTGACTTTTGACTGCGTGTTTGCAGGGCCTCCATGCTGCTAGGAGCCGCTTGCGGTTTGGTGGAGTTTTTGCGAGGCATAGCGGCATAGCAATTGCATGCAGCAAAATCATACAAGTGAGCAACCTAAGGCACCCCAGGCAGGCAAAAGGCGCCCCACTGCCCTTAGACACCCCCATCGACAAAAGGCACCCCAGGTAGGCAAAGGGACCCCACCTGCTTCAAATCCCCAGGTAGCCCTTATCATGTTGTTATCAAAACGAACAAAGTCTGCGCGAGACGCAGGCTGCAGCTCTGAAATCATGGTATGCATCAGGGGGGGGTTCAAGCCCTCCTGACTTCAATTGAAAACGTATAGCTTCCGGCCAAGTTTTGGATGAATGTTCTAGATATTATGTTTCGGAACCTTACGGCCGCACTGTTTTTGGCGTGCGTTGGCAGAGAAAAAACAAGTTTTTCGAGTCTTGACGCATTCGCCACCTTCGCGGCATCGTGGATCGCCGGAAGGATGCTGGTCTGCCACGGCAAGGACACATACAGGCTCAGGGTTAGCAATTTCCCAATCCACATATTCTATGGATGAAACACAACTTCATGGTTTATGCAAGCCTTGTAGTGGTCCAGGCTGAAGCCTTTCAGCTCTGCATCTCCATCTGCCAGATCTCCGCAGGTCCTGTCAAAACTGCTTTCGCAGGGATACGGAGTGACAACTCGCATCAACTCACATGTTGGTCCAGTTGCCCAAGGAGAAGTCGCAAGAACCGATGTGCACTCTTCCCAGCTTGTAGCCAAGGCCGACCTGTTTCAAGCTCTCAGGAACTTAGCTTCGGGCGCGTGATGGGGCATGAACCGCTTCACCACAAAGACAAATCGCACTGAAGGGGGGGCATGCCCGGTATCCAACCTGGAGTTCAACCTTCAACCTTGCACCAGAAGCAGATACGACAAGTCCACAGACTCCCGCCCCTGGCTGAGCGAGCACAGAGGGAAGCTGGGATGCAGTCTATGATGTCGTGCCTGCCTCTTGGTCGTAGCAGGCCCGCAGAACCTGAACACTGAAGACTAAGAAAATCCGGTCTGCACTAGACACTGGAGTTGTCAGGCAACCGTGGCAATTACGACACAGTCCGCCAACCGAACATTCCGCCTGCTTGCTCTTCGCAAGCCGCATCTTCAGCATGGCTTTGGATAGCGGCTCTCAAATGCCTAGTGGCCTAGTGCAACCTTGCGTTGCCAGTCCTTTCAAGAAAGGCAATTGCAGAGTCCAGCCTCTTCGCGCTTTTCTGGGCTCATCTTCTGAAGTGTTTCAGTAGACGCCTACAGAAATCTGAACAACCACGATGCAAATGCTCACTGCTAAGGAGTAGCACGTTGGCATGTCTGAGCCTCCGTGAAGCTTCCGCCGAAGCCAAGCCATGGCCTCTTACGGTTTGGGGCTCATTCCTGTAACATTCTGGACAGCAGATAGCATGATGCAATGAGCCGAATTCAATGTAGAAAGTCTTTAGCAGCAACCTCCCATGCCCACCATGCTCTTGTAAAGTAGTCTGACCCAGCCTTGGCACAGGCTGCGCAGGGGCCACAAAGACACCCGCAGCCTTCAGAGATCTAGGAGTTAAAACCTTTCAACATGGTACGCTTAGTGAGGTGGATTCATTCATCAGACCCATCCAAGCTGTAGCGACAACAACTGGATTCCTGGAGAACTTGTTATTTGCAGGTGAAACACACAAGGTAAGGGCGTCCCGAGTGACTCCTAGCCGTTTGCGTGCAGGGATTGCAGCAGTGTAACGGAAATGTGCTTGAAACTGGGGTTTCGGCACAATCGCAGGTTCAAGGGCATTTTTCGCAGAGGGCAAAAACCCTGAGACGCCTGTTGAATTTGCACGTGTATGGTGGTTTCGCTATGAGATCACTACGATTTCCAAGAGGCTCCTTTTTCAAAACTTTCGGCCGCCTGCAAAAAGAGTCAGCAAAAGAGCTCGCCTGTACAGGCGAAGGCGTTTTTGCCTTGGTTGCAGTACAAGCTCAGGGTTCTCCTGTCGGTTCGCGCGCTTCTGGCGCGAAGTTTGAGTGCGGATCACAAACTTCTTTATATTATATACACATGCAAATGTATCGCGGAAAGACCGACTTGACTAAAGGGGCAACACGGATGTTATTATGGTTTGGGCATGGATGCTCTTGTAACCGCAGGCAAGTCGAACACGGATGTTATTATGGCATGCTCTGGTAACTGCAGGCAAGTCGAATATGGATGTTATTATGGTTTGGGCATGGATGCTCTGGTAACCGCAGGCAAGTCGAACATGGATGTTGTTATGGTTTGGGCATGCATGCCCTGGTAACCACAGGCAAGTCGAACACGGATGTTATTATGGTTTGGACCATGGATGCTCTGGTAAACGCAGGCAAGTCGAACATGGATGTTATTATGGTTTGGGCATGGATGCTTTGGTAAACGCAGGCAAGTCGAACACGGATGATATTATGGTTTGGACCATGGATGCTCTGGTTCGAACACGGATGTTATTATGGTTTGGGCATGGATGCTCTGGTGACCGCATGCTCTTGGATCACGAACGTTATTATGCTTGCTCTGCAGTCATCATGCCAGCATGCCTCGCACATGTCGATGCCTCCACATCGGAAGCCAGGTCCATGTGGCTGCCAGACGGCGCAGGTTTCAGCCGTGCGCCCCACATGGCGTTGGAACCCTGTGCGAAGCTGTAGCCGAATTCCTGAAGTTCCAAAATGCGCGTTTTATCAGGAGTCGCTCGTGGCGCCCACACCACGCCGAGTGGCTGAAGTTCCAAAATGTTTGTTTTATCAGGAGTCGCTCGTGGCGGCCATACCACACACAAAGGCTGGACCATCTTCCCAGCATGTCCATCAGCGGTCTGGAAGCATTTACATGCATCTCATGGCAGAAGCCATGGTGCCTGAGCTCCACCGGACTCATCTGGTCCCAGAGCATCCTCTCGGATCCTCAAGGCATTAGGCTTCAAGGGGGATTACGGTTCAGTAGGTTGCGAAGATTCTGAAGGAAAAAAAGAGAATTTTGGTAATCGCAAAACCACAAACTAGGACGCCATCAAAATCATATGATAGCTATGGGGTCCTCATTCAGGCAACGGGCAGCAGCGCCTTCTCCAGCCCTCCGAGTCGCCCTCTGCAGTTCGGATTGTGACCACCTGGGCAATGCTGCGGCTGAATCCGGAGTTTATCGAGCATGGACCTGTCAGGGAGAGGGGCAAGCCGGGCAAGACCATGCATCAACGACATCAGGCAGATGCTGAAAGCACGCTGAGCTCACCACCCTGCGGTATTTCTGGGGTGCAGGAGCCTCATGGCAAGTGTAAGAGTGTAAGATCGTGAAAGATCGTGATGTTGTATGGCATTGTAGTCTGGGAGAGAGCAGCCGCACGTTCTACAATGCCAGGCTGTTCAAGGGTACAGGATTGAAGAAGTGAAATAAGTTGAGCAGACCCTTCAGAAACCCAGCAGGCCCGGGTCCTTGAGGGTTGCCTCGCTGGCTCCCATGGCTCAACTCCGGCACCTCTCGACCGATCCGTTCCGCTTTATGAAGGGTGTCCGCTAAGGCATTGCTGTGTAAGTTTGGCTGACCTTGCTGTGATTCTGCTGCTTGCCCCAGACTCTTTTGGGATGGGTACACAGCACATTGTGCGCATTGTGCTGCAGCTGGCTTTCCCAATCAACTTCAGGATGCTGCTTTGCGTCAGCACATGTTTGCATCAACACATGTCTCACTCGCAAGATGGATGTCTTGGAACGCGGCTGGTATGCCAAAACTTGAGGCCATGCAAAACGGACTACAGACAATGAGTAGACCCATTCAACCACTCTCTCCAAGCTTGAGGTAATTTGTGATGCTTTTCTTGCACAAGAAGTGGTATGACGTGCTTCTGGCATCCAGCATTTTGATATCTGCTGCCTGCACAGTCTCTCTAAGCCGTGGCAAGAAGCAGCGAGCGCCAGCGTTCGAACACAAACCCTTCGGGTACTGAGATGCATCTAATTTCTCCAGCACCGGTCCACAGATTCATAATCTCATCAGTATCAATAGCTGCACTGCAGCTCCTAATGCTGTGTAATATGAGGTGTCATATCTGCCAACCGAAAAAGGCTAGCTGCTGGATTGCGACCTTACTGAGGCATTGGCCCTTGACTCTTTGATTCGATGTCTGCCCCGGTGCTGGCTGCTTGGGATCTCTCGCGCCGTGCAATGCACTGGGAATTGGGCGGTTGGGAGCTTCATATGAGCAGCTTTCAAAAGTTCTTGTCTGCCACCTAGTCAACAGTCCCATATATCTGCTCCGGAGCATGTGAGGAAAACCATCTCGTTCTTCCAGGCTGGGCCTCGAGAGCCATACATTGTACACAGACATGAGGGATTATGGATTCCAGCGAGCAGCATCTTGGGCACAAAAACAGAAATGGTTCCATCTATGCAGGTCTGTGCTCATGTGAAGACAACGAGGCGTGGCAAAGATGCGCAGGCAGCCAGCATGACAGCCCCGACTGCAGAGCTGCTAGCGTCGATTCCTTGAATTGAAACGTGCTCCGCTGGGGCTGTCAAACAGCACCAGCACATGATGCGTCGCGAAACTATTGCACAGTGACTGGGTGGAAAGCATAACTAGTGAGGGCAAATTGAAATTATGTGCAATCTCCTGCTTGCCTCTTCAGGCATGCAGCGGCAGAATTGGTGGGTCCCGCGTGCTGCTTGCAGGACTCCTGTGTGTACAGAACTGCTATTAAAACCCTGACCTCAGCTAATGTCTGGTCTCGAAAATGGGAGGGTTGCCAGAAAGCCCAAGTCAGCTCATCAGCTGCGATGTCACCAACATCCCAACAAAGCCTTGGCAAACCTCCCAAGCCCTCGCATGGCAGCAAACGCGTACCCGAGCCGAGGACCAGGGCTGGGTTCATCCACGATTCGTATGAAATCAGAGTTGGGGCAGGGTGTTCCGTCAGAAGAGACACCTTGGAATTGAGCAATGCTAGTTTGCCTTGGCTGCGGCCTGCAGTCTGAACCCGGCCTGAAGAGGATCATTAACAGCTCTTGAAAATGCCCGCCTGGTGGGGCTTTGCAGTTTTTGTCTTCATGGCAAGTCCAGACCATGACCTGGAAAAAGCAGAGCCCTGGACAGGGCAAATGGCTAGTTTTTTCGGCGGCCACGGCGGCCCGGGCGGCGGCCGCCCGCTTCGGATTGCCTGTGTCAGGAGAACTTCGATTTTGCTCATCTCAGGGACAGCTTCATAGTCTTTTGGACCGCTTAAGACATTCATGCTGATCAGGAATGTTGCATTTGGAATTCAAATTACTCATAGCATGCCAGCCCAACCTCGCAACATCGGCCTTGGAAGAAGGATCCTGTCCTCACATCTGGTCAGTGGTGGGAAGTCCTCGTCTTGCAGGTATTTCATTGACTCCAGCACTCCTGCTGGCGCTGTGCCACCTGGTGGCCTCAGCAGTCAAACTCATGATCCTTCTTTGACATCCCTCCCATTCCCTCCCAACTCTACACTCTCCCTCGCGCCTCACCGGACCCGAGAGCTCGCCGCAAAGCTGCGCAGCACAGCGGCAAAGCTCTTTCCGCACCTGGCAGGCCCGGCTTTGAATTGATGGAGAGCACTTCACCCAGAGACAAAAGCAAATCGGCCTTTTGTATACATAAGCTAGGGTGCTCAGATTTTCAGGCCCGGAGACCCTAAAACTGAATGCGTTCTCAGTGGTTTCAAGGCCTCAGGCCTCGAGGCCTTCGGGTGCCAAGC